TTCGTACTTTTAAGGTGAAGAAAAGAAGTGATTTACTATAGAGTGTATTACACTTATTTGTATAATTTGCACGACGTTTCGAACCTCCATGGTTCATTCTCAAGTGAACAGATCTTACAATACTAGTTGATTTTATACCCGCATTAGGTCAGGTGATAATACAATGAAGGTGAAAAACATGGGGGGATACATAAGGGATAAACATAGGGGCTGCAGAAGGCTTATTGGCCCATACGAGGCATCTCCTATCTAAACACAAAGATTAATCCAGTGTAATTGGCCTGTTATGTTGGACATTGTCTTCTGTGTTGGCATCGATATGTTCTTGTCTTGTCCTTACTCTCATGGTGGGTAGAGTAAATAGTTCCGTGATTTGGGTGTTCATGGTAGGTCGCTCTATTCTTATGTGAATTGCCTCAAGAATTTGTAATCTTCTTGAATCTTGGGTTTTGTCTATTATGCAAGTATTCTTGTTCAACATTTCTCTTGTTAGAGTAATGTCATGGGCTTGTCTCATGTGATTCCTAGGGGCACCAGATTGAAGATGGCATGTCAAACGCCTCGTCAGCTTGGTCGACGTCATACCTATGTACTTACATTGAAGGTTACATCCTTCGTGGGGGCAAGTGTACATGTATACAACGCTTGACTGCTGTAGAGGGTTCTCCGTCGGCGTCGGGCTGTTTTTGATAAGGAGTTCGGAAGTCTTCTTGGTTTTGTAGAATATTATCAGGTTTATGTTTTGGTTAGGAGTAGTGCTTTTTACTCCTTTACGGATTATTTCTTTCATTATTCTTTCCTCTTTTATATGTTCACTGTGCATGGTTGATTTGTAATATAATTTTATTGGAGGTGTTGTGGTTTCTGTTCTAGGTTCTGAATTATACCAACGGTCCAAGTGTCTTCTTATAGCAGCGTTTATTTCCGCGTTGCTATATCCGTTGTTCACCAATACCTGAGTTACTCTTTCAAACTCTCTACTCACGTTACTCCATTCAGAGCAGTGGGTAAGAGCTCGACGAATATAAGCATTGAGAACACTGGCTATGTATCTTTGGGGGCACTCACTTCTACCGTTAAGGCATAATCCTATGTTGGTGGGCTTGGTATATACGTTGGTGCTTAAAGAGGTTCCTGTTTTTGTTATTAGTACATCCAAGAATGGCAGACTGTTATTTTCACTATTTTCATGTGTAAATCGGAGTACTGACTCTCTCTCTAGGTGTCTTTTTAGGTCAATTAGTTCATCTGAGTCTTTTACTATTACGAATATGTCATCTACATAACGGCAGTATACAGTTGGTTTTTGTCTGCTACTGAAGACCCTATCTTCGATGGTTCCCATATAAAAATTAGCAAATAAAACTCCTAAGGGGGAGCCCATTGCTACTCCGTCTATTTGTAAATACATGTCTCCTTGTGGACTGATGAAAGGGGCTTCCTTTGTACATGCTTCGAGAAGACTTTTCAAGTGTGGCTCAGGTATGTCTAATTTGGGGGTGCTCTCGTCTCTGTATACTCTGTCCAGTATCATTCCTATGGTTGTGTCGACTGGGACGTTGGTAAAAAGGGATTCAACGTCCAGGGAAGCGATGATTCCATCGGGCTGGGTAGATTTGATCAATTCTAGGAAATCTGCTGATGATTGTAGACTAAACTTACTTGGAGTGTATGGAGTTGTCCACATCCCTAAACGGTGGACAGCTAAAAATCCCTCGTCCTAAAGATGGCTACTTTAACCTGACTTCTTATGATCTTACCCAGGACCAACGAGACCTCTTAAATCTTGGTCTAAATTGTCAATTCTTATCTAAACCAAAGATGCATCAAAAACGCCTGGAAATCGAAATGCTTCTGGACGATATCCATAAGCTAGAAGACAACAAAAAAGTCATCACCACTGACACACTTCAAGCTGAACTACTTGCAGAAGCAGGGAAAAAACGAGGAACATATTCATCTACAATCTTAACCCCACGACTCAAAGAAGCAGCAATGGGCTCCTCCTTAGGAGTTTTATTTGCTAATTTTTATATGGGAACCATCGAAGATAGGGTCTTCAGTAGCAGACAAAAACCAACTGTATACTGCCGTTATGTAGATGACATATTCGTAATAGTAAAAGACTCAGATGAACTAATTGACCTAAAAAGACACCTAGAGAGAGAGTCAGTACTCCGATTTACACATGAAAATAGTGAAAATAACAGTCTGCCATTCTTGGATGTACTAATAACAAAAACAGGAACCTCTTTAAGCACCAACGTATATACCAAGCCCACCAACATAGGATTATGCCTTAAAGGTAGAAGTGAGTGCCCCCAAAGATACAAAGCCAGTGTTCTCAATGCTTATATTCGTCGAGCGCTTACCCACTGCTCTGAATGGAGCAACGTGAGTAGAGAGTTTGAAAGAGTAACTCAGGTATTGGTGAACAACGGATATAGCAACGCGGAAATAAACGCTGCTATAAGAAGACACTTGGACCGTTGGTATAATTCAGAACCTAGAACAGAAACCACAACACCCCCAATAAAATTATATTACAAATCAACCATGCACAGTGAACATATAAAAGAGGAAAGAATAATGAAAGAAATAATCCGTAAAGGAGCAAAAAGCACTACTCCTAACCAAAACATAAACCTGATAATATTCTACAAAACCAAGAAGACTTCCGAACTCCTTATCAAAAACAGCCCGAAGCCGACGGAGAACCCTCTACAGCAGTCAAGCGTTGTATACATGTACACTTGCCCCCACGAAGGATGTAACCTTCAATGTAAGTACATAGGTATGACGTCGACCAAGCTGACGAGGCGTTTGACATGCCATCTTCAATCTGGTGCCCCTAGGAATCACATGAGACAAGCCCATGACATTACTCTAACAAGAGAAATGTTGAACAAGAATACTTGCATAATAGACAAAACCCAAGATTCAAGAAGATTACAAATTCTTGAGGCAATTCACATAAGAATAGAGCGACCTACCATGAACACCCAAATCACGGAACTATTTACTCTACCCACCATGAGAGTAAGGACAAGACAAGAACATATCGATGCCAACACAGAAGACAATGTCCAACATAATAGGCCAATTACACTGGATTAATCTTTGTGTTTAGATAGGAGATGCCTCGTATGGGCCAATAAGCCTTCTGCAGCCCCTATGTTTATCCCTTATGTATCCCCCCATGTTTTTCACCTTCATTGTATTATCACCTGACCTAATGCGGGTATAAAATCAACTAGTATTGTAAGATCTGTTCACTTGAGAATGAACCATGGAGGTTCGAAACGTCGTGCAAATTATACAAATAAGTGTATCTTACACTTATTTGTATCGTACACTCTATAGTAAATCACTTCTTTTCTTCACCTTAAAAGTACGAAAATGAGTTTTGGAGAACTCCTATTCCAATTAAACCCTGATGCTAAGAAAATAGTTAGAGGGATAGAAGCCCTAAACCAGAAAATAATAAATACAGAATATGCGGTCATATTCAATGAAACATATATATATATATATATATATATATATATATATATATATATATATATATATATATATATATATATATATATATATATATATTAGTATATTTTGGTAGCAGTCTTTCCTGTAGACATATATTCTTAAATATGACCGAAAAAGTAAGATTAATAATTCTAACAAGAATTTTCTCAATGTGTCTTATACTTCTTTTCACTGTTGATGGTAACTGAAAAATCAATTCTCCAAAATTCATTTTTATTTCTAGTCTGACACGACACTTGAAAGCGTTTCGTAAAACTTATTACATTTTCAAAGACTTTAGTTTACACACACACAACTATAACTGAACAGAGTTTAAACAGCTTCGATTTTATACCTGCATTTGGGTGAGGTGATATGTTACAACAGTTTTGGATGAGGTTATCTTGAGATGATTTCGGGGCTTTAGTGTCCCCGCGGCCCGGTCCTAGACCAGGCCTCCACCCCCAGGAAGCAGCCCGTGACAGCTGACTAACTCCCAGGTACCTATTTACTGCTAGGTAACAGGGACATTCAGGGTGAAAGAAACTTTGCCCATTTGTTTCTGCCTCGTGCGGGAATCGAACCCGCGCCACAGAATTACGAATCCTGCGCACTATCCACCAGGCTACGAGGCCCCTAAACAAACAAAACAGGTAAACAAACTTTCAACACAAGACAGAACATGAAACAATGGATATAATATTTTGTAAGTTAAAGGGAAGAATGGAAGTAACTGCAAAGGGCCTATTAGCCCATACTTCTTGATGCTTCTATATTGGTGCGGAGTCTTGAAGTGGCTAGAATATAGTTGTGCATTAATTGGATGTTGATTGCTGGTGTCGACTTCTTAATGTGTAGTGCCTCGCAGATATAAATCCGCCTGCTATCGCTGTATCTATCGATGATTTCCGTGTTTTTTGTTAAGATTTCTCTGGTGATGGTCTGGTTGTGGGAAGAGATTATATGTTCCTTAATGGAGCCCTGTTGCTTATGCATCGTTAATCGCCTGGAAAGAGATGTTGTTGTCTTGCCTATATACTGAATTCTTTGAGGCTTACAGTCCCCAAGTGGGCATTTGAAGGCATAGACGACGTTGGTCTCTTTTAAAGCGTTCTGCTTTGTGTCTGTACTATTCATACTTATAGTGTAGTATTCCATTAATGTGTTTTTATGTTTATGGCCACGTATGCCTCTAATATTTTCACCCAAATTTGTTCCATATTTAGACTGGAACGAAATTATTCGTTATTAATCTCATTATATTTCATAGCTCCGTGTGAAGGGATTATGCAGGATCAAGAGAAAAGGAAGCCACTACTTGCTGACCGACTCCACTAGCAGTAGAAATAATATTTTTAATATACATATATAAAAAATAAGTCTAATGCTAAGACAGAAAATGCTAAGAGAAATGTAGAGAGAAACCAAGACAAATACATTTTTGTACAATTAGATTAAGACGATCTGTGTTATCATACTCAATAAGTGGAGCTCGTAGAACGATGGGTGAGTCGCCTTTTGGGTTGTTGAGTTCAGGGTTGTGAAGCATCGTCCAGAGGAGTTCCAGCATCCACGTCGTCCCAGACTTGCGCATCCCTATCAAAACTACGTCACTGGAATTAAACTAAAAGGACAGAATGTACTACAATGGGGTTAAGTACACATCTGTGTCAATTACTGCTGTGTAACAAATGCAAACAAACTCGAAACAATAGATATAAAGCTTAAATTCAGGAAAGGCCATAAATAGATGCTGATTTAGACTCAGGATTGCTGATTTAGGGAACATATTACTGGGGATCATAAGAGACGAGGGATTTCTGGATTGTTTCAAAAGTAGATCAAACAGATGTATTAATTAGTTTTCATTTATATAAACTAGAACTGTCTCGTATGGAACAATTGGCCTTCTGCATTTCTTCTTTATTCTCATTTCGTTAATCATAACTTTAAAATCGTACAAAACTCGTTAATCTATATATATGTATAATAAATAATGTCTGCTTATTTTTCTACTTGTCTGTTTACAGAATGCAAATATGTCGGTCAGGATCAACTCCAGTGCCATAACTTGAACTATTATTGGCCTCGAAACTCACGCTCGCCAACAAGCAATTTTCACGAAATTTGAAATTAATTCAGGATGTGTTTTCTGTTGAGCTTTGAAGTTACTTCCGCTGTGTGTCTGTGCATTTTCATTCTGTACTTGAAATAATTTGAATTTCAGTGATGAAGATAGTGAGTAGTGAAGGTGGTTATGGTGATAGAGATAGTATATTCAGAAAATATTTAAGATGAGGGGAGAGAAGAGGGGACAAGGGGAAGGCGAGGGTAAACAGGGAAACAAGGGAGACAAGGGCGCCCGACAGCTGGGTGGACAGCGCTTCGGATTCGTAGTCCTAAGGTTCCGGGTTCGATCTCCGGTGGAGGCGGAGACAAATGGGCAAAATGTTTCTTTCACCCTGATGCCCCTGTTACCTAGCAGTAAATAGGTACCTGGGAGTTAGGCTGCTTCCTGGGGGGGGGGGGGTAACAATAAGGAGGCCTGGTCGAGGACCGGGCCGCAGGGACGCTAAGCCCCGAAATCATCTCAAGATAACCTAAAGAAGATCTCAAGATAAGGGGACATGAGGGGGGAAGAGGGACAAGGGAAAGACGAGGGTAAACAGGGGAACAAGGGAGACATGGGGAATATGAGGGGAGAGAGGGAAAATAAATGGGGGAAGAGCAGGGGATAGGAAATATGGTTAAAATGTGTGCAAGAGGGGATTGAGAGGTGGAAACAGAAAGTAGAGGAATTAGAGGGGAGAAGAAGGAAGAGGAGATGGAAGGAAGAGGAGAGTGAGAAGAGTGGGAGGGGGGAGGGGGCAGAGACAAACACAGACCCGGGCATAAAATATAATGTTTGTTTGTCCAACTTTGGAGGCCAGATATCTGGAACTAATCTCTCTCATATTTGCAGATTGAATCGTCTGGATGCTGAATGGACGTAGGCTAGTAAGGGTTGGACATAGTAAGAGGAAGGTCGGGACCAATAGACACCCACCACCGACATGATCACCACCGACACAACCAATGATGGTTGACCATGTACCTAGATTTCTTCATTAGAAACTGTGAAATACTTAAGAGAGAATAACATGTCCGTATTCAACTTTGACTCCTCTAACGTTACACACCTCATGGGTGGCAGTCTTGATTATGTCATTGGTCACGGTCTCGTTGATAATGCTGTCGGAGGAGCAATTGTTCACGAATTAGTTAGTGATCACTTAAGAACATAAGAACAAAGGTAACTGCAGAAGGCCTATTGGCCCATACGAGGCAGCTCCTATTCTATAACCACCCAATCCCACTCATATACTTGTCCAACCCGTGCTTGAAACAATCGAGGGACCCCACCTCCACAATGTTACGCGGCAATTGGTTCCACAAATCAACAACCCTGTTACTGAACCAGTATTTACCCAAGTCTTTCCTAAATCTAAACTTATCCAATTTATATCCATTGTTTCGTGTTCTGTCCTGTGTTGATACTTTTAATACCCTATTAATATCCCCCCGGTTATGTCCATTCATCCACTTGTAAACCTCTATCATGTCACCCCTAACTCTTCGCCTTTCCAGTGAATGCAACTTAAGCTTTGTTAATCTTTCTTCATATGAAAGATTTCTAATTTGGGGAATTAACTTAGTCATCCTACGCTGGACACGTTCAAGTGAATTTATATCCATTCTATAATATGGCGACCAAAACTGAACTGCATAATCTAAATGGGGCCTAACTAGAGCAAGATATAGCTTGAGAACCACACCAGGTGTCTTGTTACTAACGCTGCGATTAATAAATCCAAGTGTCCGATTTGCCTTATTACGAACATTTATGCATTGATCCTTTTGTTTTAAATTCTTACTAATCATAACTCCCAGATCCCTTTCGCAATCCGACTTCGCAATCACAACACCATCTAGCTCGTATCTTGTAACTCTATCATCATTACCTAACCTCAGAACTTTACATTTATCAGCATTAAACTGCATCTGCCAATCCTTTGACCATTTCAAAACCCTATCTAGATCAACTTGAAGTGATAGTGAGTCCTCCTCCGAATTAATTTCCCTACCGATTTTCGTATCATCGGCAAATTTGCAAATGTTGCTACTCAAACCTGAATCTAAATCATTTATATATATTATAAACAACAGAGGTCCCAGGACAGAGCCTTGAGGCACTCCACTTACAACATTTTCCCACTCTGACTTGATTCCATTTATACTAACTCTCTGTTTCCTTTGGTATAGCCATGCCCTAATCCAGCTTAATATAGCACCCCCAATACCATGAGACTCTATTTTTTTAATCAGTCTTTCATGTGGCACTGTATCAAAAGCTTTGCTAAAGTCAAGGTATACAACATCGCAATCCTTACCACTATCAACTGCCTCAACAATGCTAGAATAAAAAGATAACAAATTTGTTAAACATGAACGGCCATTTATAAAACCATGTTGCGACTCAATTATTAATTTATGTTTTTCAAGATGAAGACGAATTTTATTTGCTATTATAGATTCGAGTAACTTTCCCACAATAGACGTTAGGCTAATTGGTCGATAGTTAGACGCAAGTGATCTATCTCCTTTCTTAAAAACTGGTATCACATTAGCAACTTTCCAAAACTCTGGCACTCTGCCTGACTCTATTGATAAGAACATAAGAACATAAGAACAAAGGCAACTGCAGAAGGCCCACTGGCCCACACGAGGCAGCTCCCATTCTATAACCACCCAATCCCACTCATATACTTGTCCAACCCGCGCTTGAAACAATCGAGGGACCCCACCTCCACCACGTTACGCGGCAATTGGTTCCACAAATCTACAACCCTGTTACTGAACCAGTATTTACCCAAGTCTTTCCTAAATCTAAACTTATCCAATTTATACCCATTGTTTCGTGTTCTGTCCTGTGTTGATACTTTTAATACCCTATTAATATCCCCCTTGTTATGTCCATTCACCCACTTGTAAACCTCTATCATGTCGCCCCTAACTCTTCGCCTTTCCAGTGAATGCAACTTAAGCTTTGTTAATCTTTCTTCATATGAAAGATTTCTAATTTGGGGAATTAACTTAGTCATCCTACGCTGGACACGTTCAAGTGAATTTATATCCATTCTATAATATGGCGACCAAAACTGAACTGCATAATCTAAATGGGGCCTAACTAGAGCAAGATATAGCTTGAGAACCACACCAGGTGTCTTGTTACTAACGCTGCGATTAATAAATCCAAGTGTCTGATTTGCCTTATTACGAACATTTATGCATTGATCCTTTTGTTTTAAATTCTTACTAATCATAACTCCCAGATCCCTTTCGCAATCCGACTTCGCAATCACAACACCATCTAGCTCGTATCTTGTAACTCTATCATCATTACCTAACCTCAGAACTTTACATTTATCAGCATTAAACTGCATCTGCCAATCCTTTGACCATTTCAAAACCCTATCTAGATCAACTTGAAGTGATAGTGAGTCCTCCTCCGAATTAATTTCCCTACCGATTTTCGTATCATCGGCAAATTTGCAAATGTTGCTACTCAAACCTGAATCTAAATCATTTATATATTATAAACAACAGAGGTCCCAGGACAGAGCCTTGAGGCACTCCACTTACAACATTTTCCCACTCTGACTTGATTCCATTTATACTAACTCTCTGTTTCCTTTGGTATAGCCATGCCCTAATCCAGCTTAATATAGCACCCCAATACCATGAGACTCTATTTTTTTAATCAGTCTTTCATGTGGCACTGTATCAAAACTGATTTATTAAATATGGTTGACAGTGGGTCACAAAGCTCCTCTTTGCATTCTTTAAGCACCCTAGCAAACACTTCATCCGGCCCTGGGGATTTGTTTGGTTTGAGTTTTACTATTTGTTTAAGAACATCCTCCCTGGTAACTGCTAAACTCGTCAACCTGTCCTCGTCCCCACCCACATAGACTTGTTCGGCTGAAGGCATATTGTTAAGTTCCTCTTTAGTAAATACAGATACAAAATATTTATTAAAAATACTACTCATCTCTTCATCACTATCTGTTATTTGACCTGTCTCAGTTTTTAATGGACCTATCCTTTCCCTAGTCTTAGTACGATATAACTGAAAAAACCCTTTAGGATTTGTCTTTGCTTGCCCTGCTATGCGAACTTCATAGTTCCTTTTTGCTTTCCTTATCTCTTTTTTAACATTTCTAACCAGTTGTACGAATTCCTGTTCTAAAGTGACCTCCCCATTTTTAATCCTTTTGTACCAAAAGTGATATGTCAATCACTTTGACATATTCAGTTCATACACTATCAAGGTGTATATCCAGCACTGGGAACAGTTTTTGCAAGACATCAATCATGCAACATCCTCATCCTAAATGTGGAATAAGATTCAAAAGATTTCTCGTCCTAGCAGTCATCAACTTGATCACCATTCACCTGTAGACTATGCCGACATGCTGCTTCAGCAATATGCAAGCACTGCCAGTATAATCAGCCTGCCCCTAGATGTACAACACCATCTGGCTAGTACCAAAATGAATCGTAACTTCAATATTGAAATTGCTTGTAGTGAGATAGGACCTGATGATAACTATGGCACAACCCCCTTTGAAATTAAAAATACACTCAAGAAAGGTAAGGCTACCTCTGCTGGAGAGGATGGTATCACATACAATGCCATTGAGAGTACTTGCTGAGCTGCCAAATAGCCTTTGCTAGAATTGTTTAATCAAAGCCTAAGGCAGGGTGTCTTACCCGACCGCTGGACACAGAACATAAGAACATAAGAACAAAGGCAAATGCAGAAGGCCTATTGGCCCATACGAGGCAGCTCCTATTCTATAACCACCCAATCCCACTCATATACTTGTCCAACACGCGCTTGAAACAATCGAGGGACCCCACCTCCAGCACGTTACGCGGTAATTGGTTCCTCAAATCAACAACCCTGTTACTGAACCAGTATTTACCCAAGTCTTTCCCAAATCTAAACTTATCCAATTTATATCCATTGTTTCGTGTTCTGTCCTGTGTTGATACTTTTAATACCCTATTAATCATAGGTTGAAAGAAAGACTAAAACCACTGAAAATACTTACTGGTAAGAATATTGATACCAATATTAAATATGCTAGACTATTCTATATGATGTTTGTTAGATATCTCACGGATTATAATGCTTTGCACTTAACTAATTTCCCTTCCTCTGTGTTGGACAAACTTGTAGTACAGAATGAAGCCATGAGGATAATTCTTGGTGCCCCAAGATGCACAGGAATCATCAACTTGAGGGAAGAACTGAAGCTTCCAACCATACTAGAGAGAATCATGCAAATCAACACGACCTTCTGCTTTAAACTCATGAGAGACCCTACATCTCCTGCATTGCTCATAGACAAATTATTTAGTGCTGTTAACACCCTTTTGACTGGTGCCGACATACCAACTCACTCCTTTTATGATAAATGACTGAGCAACAATGCCTACAATCTCATTAAACTTAACATTCCTTTTAAGTGCAATCTACCTGTCACTGATATTCCTCTTTATGAGTACCCCACCATTCAAGTATCATACACACCTGTCCCCAAGAAAGGTAATGAGAATCTTTCTCTTCTCAAAGCTGTCACACTCGAAACAATTACCTCTACCATCGAGAATTTAAGATCTCACGAACACTGTGTCTACACCGACGGCTCAGTCTAATCTTCTACTGGACGGACTGCAGCAGCATGTAGGTTTTATAGAAATAATATTTGCACAAAGACTGTCAGTGTCAGATTAAACAACTGGCTGACCTCCACACAAGCAGAACTAGCACCATTACAACTAGCTACCAGTACATTAAAAAACATTGGAGGAGGAATAATATTTTGTGATTCAAAGTCTGCTCTTTAAGCAATCGAAAACTTCTACTGGAAGATTGACAGCAAGAACCTCATACTACCAATTCTAAATGACCTAGTTGGTGCACAGAGTAGAGGGTCTCGAATCTCCTTTGTATGGATACCTTCACACATAAATATAACCCATCATAATGAGACAGACATTGGAGCCAAATTAATGTGCAACAAAGATGAAGTTGAATTAGATCTAGGTATCCCCATCTCTGCTGTCAAAACTGTATTGGTCCAAACACTCAGGTCTGATAGGAAAGAAATTACTGACTCCCAACGACCTGAAAGTACTAGTATAAAAAGCTATGATTTGTTCAGAACTGAAACCTATATCTATGGGCAGCACAAAACGTCTACCAGACTGTGCGACACAATGGTTGCAAAGATCAGGTTGGGTTACCGTTACCTGTGGCAGGTGGCTACAGGTGACGGATCTCCCAATCCTGAGCACTCCAGGTGCAAACTCTATGAGCAGGAACTGCGGCATGATCTCCCACACTACATTACCGAACGCCCAGTTATTAGATCTTTCAGACCAGTTGGCATGAGGTACCTGGAGCTTTGCAATTACTTTATTCATTCTCATATTCTTGAAGATATCCTTACAGTGTACCCAAAATTTGCCAATGCAGGCTATTAAACATATGGCCCTGTATGATTAACCATCCTGCGAGATGGGGGACTTTTATTACCACTGTTCCTTATTCACTCTTGTGTTGATGATATCCTCAGAATGCATCCGGAGTCTGCCAGTGCAGACTGCCTATCACATGCCTCTGTATGACTAACCATCCTGTGTGATGGGGATTTTTTAACATCACCTAGTTAGCTTTTTTTGACATACTGTACTCCACTTCATATAGTCTAGGGTAGCTACACAAATGCAGATGTACCTCATGTATTAATATAAAAAAGTGAATTCTATATTATATTTTCTAAGACAGAGATAGAAAGCGGGATATTGGGAAGGAGATGAGTAATGTTAAGGAGAGGGAGGGAGAAGGGGGAGACAGATGGAGAGGGAGAAGAGATGAGTAGAGAGGAATAGAGGGAAAGTTTGGGAGAGAAAGTGGAGAAGGAATGATGGAGGAGAGTTGGAAGAAAGGTAGAGAGAGGGTGACTGGGAGAAAGTGTAGCGAGGGAATGAGGAGAGGAAAGTGGTGAGAGTGAGGATCTCTGGGAAAACAGTTGGAAAGGATCTTCCTTCTTATCATATAGAGTTCCTCTATATGATAGAGAGAAACAGATGAGGGAGGGAGGAAACTGGAGAAGAGCAAGAGAGAGAGAGAGGAGAAGGTGGAGATATTCCCGGACGCAATTGGGTACCCTCCCTATATAATATATTAAAAATTCATAACTTTATCATAGATAACAACACTGAAAAATATTACGTACCTTGAAGTTGTAGATGGTATCAGCATACTGTGTGAAGGAAGTTGGTAAGAGCCAGCCATCAGGCAGCAAGCGGACCATGCCTTGTTTGTAGAGCGTCTGTTCTTGCGCCATGCTGGCCATCCACTCCTCGCTCATGGCCACCACCTCGTGACCACTAGCCAGTTGATTGCTCATCTTCCTTGGGAAATTAAACATGTTTTGATGCCAGTCAACAGAGGAAGTATTCCTGGTCAGAATACCAGGCATATTTCTCACTACGAATATTGTCATGAAAATGTTTAAAAACCAAAATAACCCCATCCTCTCTCTGACCATATGCAGAATGTTGTACTTAAATTTTCAAATTACGAAGGAAGGAATGCAAATTTCCATCCAACTTTTTCAGATGGAAACCTACATCCTTTCTCATTGTAAACAACACCTTTCAGAAAGGATGTAGGTTATATCCGATTTTTTTTATTAAAACACTCAAACGTATACTGAGTTTTTCCTTCACCTTAATTCAAGCACTACGGCCTTGTAGTAGGTTTCTCAATAATATTTATATACAAATATACAATAGAATATTATACAGTGGATTAATAAAGGTTAAGAAGTCTGTATATTTAATAAAGCAACTGATATGCAGAGCGTTTCAGGTATAACTAAAATAATCCTAGTGAGGGTTATTTTCAGAGTTTATGAGGTAGACGAGTACTTAACGAGAAGATAACATTTACATTATTCAAGGAATTTAACAAAGAATATGCAGCGTTTAAGGATGGTATAATATAAAACAGAGTAGGAGAAAATGAGCATGTGTTATGGGGTAACACTTGTTTTTATTTATTAACTAGCTGTACCCGCCACGCGTTGCTGTGGCTCAGTCTGGTTAAATAGGAAAGAAAGAAAAGAGAAAGAGTACGTTTCTAATATGTTTAATTTCACAATGCTTCTGGGAATACAATAATTTTTTTTGTTCCATTGTCTGTGGAGATATAGAGATTGTCTGGTTTGCTGACCCTAGAACACGCAACATATAAATGTCCATGTGAGAAGCAATCCGTTTTTAGATATAAACTGCACAATTCTAAAGATTGACCCTAAGCTTTGTTGATGGTGGTTGCAAATGCCAATCGATTTGGAAATTACAATCTCTTAAAATGAAATGGCATATCTGTTGGAATCATAGGAATGCGAGGAATGAGGACATCTTTACCTTTGAAAGGTCTTGTCAAGATTGTTGCTTCTACGACGTCGCTGATTATTTTTTTTACTGCAAGACACGTGGCGTTGCAAAGTTTTGGCTGGTTGATTATTCATAACATGATAATTGGCACGCCGATTTTGAGTTGCCGTACGTATGAAGGTATCCCTGGCAGATCGAGTAAATTAAAAAATTATGTTGGATAATTAACCGCTTCATCTGCTTCCACAACAGTGTCGGCGGACTTATATGTGACTGTCTCGCTTTGGATGTTAGACTAAATAATATTGTTAAGGTCCAAGACGTCTTTGTTCTTGGCCGCAAGAATAGCTCGTTCACTCAGTCAATTGTGATTCTTATAATTGGTTTGAATGTTGGGGAAATGCTTTTCAACCAATTTTCCTTTTGAATTCACTGAATTGCAGAAGTTATGAGGCAATGAAATTCGTCCTGAGGTCAGATCAAACGGCACGTTTCCGTTCCCAATTTCCAGCAATTGATGTGAGAATATCTGAGCTGATGGATCGTTTTGCAACTAGACACGCACATTTGTAGTTAATTTTAACGTCGTTATGTGGCGCCACAAAGAGGAGTATTTCAGGCAAGCATTTATTTCGTCCGCTGGTGTCGATCGAGGAATTACAGGTAATGTTTGCCTGAAATCTCCTGCAAGCAATATTAATGCATTCCCAAATGGTCTGATGTTTCCACCCAAATCTTGCAATGATCGATCAAGAGGCTCGAGCGATTTTTTGTGAACCATTTGGAATCATCCCAAACAATAAGTTGTTTGTTTCGGCAATACGTTTCCCAAGCCGGATGCTTTGGAAATGTTGCACGTGGCAGTTTCAATGAAGTGCATATTCAATGGCAATTTAAAAGCCGAATGAGCAGTTCTTCCACCAGGTAGCAATGTCGCAGCTATTCCGGACGACGCAGGAGTTAAGGTTATGCCATTTTGGGATCGAAATGCTGCCAAAATCAATCTAATTAGGAAGGTTTTACCAATTCCTCCTGACGTATATAAGAAGATTTCTCCAAGCCTGTTATTGACAGTTTGAATTATTTGATTGTAAATGCCTTTTCGTTCAAACGTTAGCTTAGGAATATTTGATTGCACATGTAACAACAGATCACCCGTGTTGTAATTTTGTTCACGACACAATTCTACATCGAATGAAACAGCAGCAGCTCAATTCGCTGATGGCATTTCCAACCGGTTGAGAACTTTGTACGCGATTTCTAAGCACAAATCTTCGATCATTATCAATGCTTCGTTGTAGATTTCTGCTGTGAAATCTATGTTCATATTTGAATTCTCCTTCGTATTTGATGGATAATATCTTCAGCCATGTGCGATTTATATTTCTACCACTCTGTTGGAGATGAAGGAGAGCAGGCGGTCAATATGATAGCAAACAATGCACGAATTTGATTTGGATATGACGTGTTGGACGCATATTAATGCATACATCCCGGTGTCGGTTGTTCGCCAATAAATTCAGAGCTTGACATGCAATACGGGAAGTGGCATGTGTTACGCTGTTGATAAATCTCAATGGCTGGAAAGACGTTGGACCGGGCACGTTTACCAACAGCATGTGAAGAAAGAAGCATTCATCCTGATTGGGATGGACGTTGTACAGTCTGCCTATTGTAATTTGTTTGAATATGCCAGGTTGTCCGTCGACTCGCTCTCCTCGTTTGTGTCGTTCAAATGGTTTTCTACTGGTATTCCATGTGTAATACGTAGGCACTTCTGAATACAGCCCTGTTTTCGCAAATGCGTCATTTTGACATAATGTGAAGGAAGCAGTTAACGTTGTAGCCGGTGTTTATAGCTGTTTGTTGCAAATTTACAGCTGTAAAATAAACGTGTTTTTCATTTTCTTGTTTTCAAAAAAACAAAAAATACTAACGAAATATTTCAATTCAAACGAAGATCAATCGACAGCTCAATTTCATCACCAATTGCACTGATGCACTGAAAAATAAGATCCGTTAAAAAAACGAAATGAAAAAAAAATATAAACTATACCCACGAAATGAACGGTATGGTAAACAACACAGCTCAATTCCAATGCAATGTCACACAAAATAATTAAATCAAAATGAAAATAAAATAAAATCTATGTAAATTCAATTTATAAATGCAATCGGAAACATTGAAATGGAATCGCAACATATTTTGTATAGCATGTGTTGCTCTGACGTGCAACAGATGGTGCTGTTTAAAAAAAAACATATTTTTATCTGTCACAGGTGTGGCATCTAAACTGTAGGTATATAAAAACATGCACGTATTCGAATGGAATGTTGTGCCAAAATTTCAAAGCAATTGGTGAAGAACTTTCGAAGATTATACTGTGTGTTGCTCTTACGTCCTACAGATGGCCCTGTTTTTCAAAAAAAGCATATTTCTTCCTGTCATTGGTGAGGCATGTATATAGTAGGTATATAAAAACACTCGTCTATTCGAATGCAACGTTGTGTCAAAATTTCAAAGCAATCGGTAAAAAGGTTTCGAAGATTTCCTTCAAATGAAAAACACGTGTAAAACACATGTTTTTGTTTTTCAAAAAAGCATGTTTTTTCCCGTCACAGACGTGACATCTATATAGTATGTATATAAAGCCCACTCGGATGCGGATGGAACGTCGTGTGAAAATTTCAAAGCAATCGGTGAAGAATTTTCGGAGATAAGCGATTTTGAACAAACGAACATTTCCATTTTCATTTATATACATGATTGGACATTGAAAACAAGTAACTTAGAGGCAAAAGAGACCTAGCTCAGTTAGTTTCAGAGCCCGCCGCCAGAAGCAATAATCTCCTGGATTTTGTCTTTGTAAGAAAAAAGACAATGAATAATAATATGGAAATACGAAACAAACATTGTAACAGTTATAATAGAGAAATTTCTGGTGCTATCGCCTGGAAAACCAGCGCCACACTCGAAACAATTGCCACCTCCAACGAGAATTTAAGACCTCATGAGCACTGTGTCTACACCGACGGCTCAGTCCAATCTTCTACTGGACAGACTGCAGCAGCATGTAGGTTTTATAGAAATAATATTTGCACAAAGATTGTAAGTGTCAGGTTAAACAACTGGCTGAGTTCATTACACATTACCAAGGCTGATAAGTCAAATGCAGTAGGTATTATGAATAAGGATGACTATGTCCGAAAAATGTAGTTACTCCTGGAAGACAGGGATACTTATCTATTGATTAATAGAGATCCTACTGAAAAGTGATTGTACATTTTAACAAAACTCTTAAAACTGTGTGTAAAGACGATAAAGAGTTGATATCTAGGCTAACAAATCGATCCCCCCCTCTCTACCTTACCTGTATGGTCTTATAAAAACTCATAAGCCATATTATCCGGCAAGGTCGATTATTAGTTCAGTTGGTTTAGCGGCTTATAAACTCTCTAAGTGGTTAGTCAAAGTTTTGTCCCCTAAAGTTGGTACTATTTCCAATTCACACTTGACAAACAATGTGGACTTAGTTAATAAACTATCCACACTGAATTTAAATCTTGATTTTAATCTAATAAGTTTCGATGTGACCTCTTTATTCACTAAAGTACCTGTTGATGATATGTTAGAATTTCTACGTGAGGAACTGCCCAAATATAATTTGAGCTTACAGACCAATAAAGTATTGGAACTTATCAAATTGTGTATAAAAGACAATTATTTTAGTTTTAATGGAAAAATTTTCAAACAAACATTTGGAATGGCGATGGGCAATCCCCTTTCCCCAGTTTTGAGCAATTTGTATATGGAATTCTTCGAAACAAAAATCTTATCCAGGATTATCCCTGCTAATGTAGTTTGGTTTAGGTATGTTGATGATATTTTGTCCTTATGGCCGTGTGACAAAGACCAGATAGTTTTTCTTAATGAACTTAATTCTTTGGTACCTTCAATAAAATTCACTTGTGAGACTGAGGAGAATGGCACTCTTCCGTTTTTGGACATT